CGCAGTGCCAGGTTCTCGGGCAGCGCCTTGGCCCAGTAGCCAGGCCGCGTGACCAGGTCGGGACAGGCGTACTTGGGGATGTCCTGCGCGCTCATGAGCGAGGGGTCGTGCGCCGTGAAACCAAAGCGCAGCGCGCCGCTCCAGCCGGGGCGCACGGCCACCAGGCGCAGCCGCACCTGCTCGTACAGGCGGATGGGCCGCTGCGTGAAGGTGACTCCGTTGCAGAAGCTGTTGCGCCGCGTGGCCCGGCGCGAGTGGCCGTCCAGCCGCACGTTCTTGCCTTTGGCCTGCGCGTGGAAGCGCGGCGCCTCGCCCAGGACCGCGCGCCGCTCAGGACCAGGGCCACAGCAGGGTCGGGTGGCCAGGAGGCGCGCAGGAGGGCTGGAATCTGCAGAGATGAAGAGAGGGGAGGCATATCAGCCCTGCTGCCAGAGATCCTCAACCATTTTCATTACATTTCACCTTACCAGGAGGCGCGCAGGAGGGCTGGAATCTGCAGAGATGAAGAGAGGGGAGGCACATCAGCCCTGCTGCCAGAGATCCTCAACCATTTACATTACATTTCACCTTAATTAGACTGGCCGTGGATCAACTTTAGAAGGTTCTAGCCTAGGCCAAACGGATACTCCCCTATTCCTGCACCGTGGCAAGTCAGAGCACCCACTTCACAGATGAGCAAACAGAGGCTCAATGCTGTGTGTGCTCTGAAGAGTTCTGTTTCAATCTCAGAAGAGCTTATTGCCGCTTGGCCTGAGGGCACCTGCACCGTGGCAAGTCAGAGCACCCACTTCACAGATGAGCAAACAGAGGCTTAATGCCGCTTGGCCTGAGGGCAAATGACCCCTCCATCACTGGTAAATCCTTCCAAGCCTAGAAGCTTCCTTCCAGGGTCACCTCTGAGCTGCAAAGTCCCTGGATTCTTGGGGAGTGGTGGGGTGTCTGAGTGTTTTCCTTATAATCTGAGTTCACCTCTAGGCAGAGTAATAGAGCACACATTCAGGATCCTGAAAGCAGCCTGGACAGTCCCAGGCCTTGGCCTCCCTGGTTGGGGCCACACGGGTGACTCTGTCACTTCAACTGGTTTCCTTGCCTGCAAATGGGGCAGTCAACTCCCACAGCTGCTGGGAGGCAGTGTGGATCAAGTGCCTAAATATTACCTGATACGGGTGTGTGATGGGCCACTGGCAACCTCATGGTCTTTCCCCCTTTCCAGAAGAGATGAAGACCCTGATGGTTAGGAAGTTGGCTTTTCTAGAATGTAATCCTGGGGATTCATTTCTAAGATTTGCTTTGAGGGTCCTTTCAGAGAACCTGGTCACAACCCAAGTGGCCCAGAATGGAGTGTAGGTCATCTTGCCTTCCTCCCTCTTCCCCCTCCAAGGGTGGTCCCTGGGAGGTGGCAGGTGGGTGGTCACTGAAGGAGGGAGTCCTTGCACTTACTACAGCAGTAGGACCATTTTCATAGCAGGCCATCTCCATACACACAGAGAATGCCAGGCCACTGTGGGGACCCTCCTCCCACACCTAACTTGGCTTGTACTCTAGGATAGAGGGTTTGGTGAACACTGAGGCTGATGGGAGTCAGCATAAGAAAAAATAACAAGCAAGGCCCCTCCACCAGGCAAGGAGGAAGCCACAGTCTCTGAGGTACAAAGCCAGGTTGGAGGACTCTTCAGACAGAAGGCACCAACCCACTGAAGACAGTGCCACGCAAAAGAACAAGACCATGGTCTGCATTAGAAAAAGACCTTCAGGGACTGCAGTCATCCAGCCACTTAACAAACGTTAAACATGTATCAGGCACCACATTAGGCACTAGGAATACAACTGTCCCTGCAGCCAACTCTAGTTGACATTCCAGGGGGCAAAGTCTTGACCATAAGTGAAGTGTACTGTGAGCTGGGGAGTACACCTTGGGATTTTCAGGGAAGGCCTCTCTGATGGGTGACTGGACCCGAAATCTAAAGGAAGTGAAGGAGTGAGTCAAGAGGGTTTGGCAGGGACAGCAGCATAAAGGTTCTGAAGTGGGAATGTGCCAGTGAGAATGGGCATCAAGGAGCCAGCACAGCCGTGGTGGCATGGGCAAGAGTGGGTTCCAGGCACAAGCCCAGAGCTGGGGGAGCAGGGACCACTTACAGCTCTGCGTTTTTTTCTTTAACCATTTTACTCTGAGGGAGTGCCATTACTGAAAGCTCAGAGCACAGTAGAACACTGCTCTGAACAGGGGTTAGAATGGATCATTGAGAAGACGGGGGCTCCAACAAGCCTGCTGGATTACAAGACTGTAAGTGGCAAGAAGGGATCAAATTCTAGGTGTCTTGAAGATGGAAGAGATTGAAAGTTCTAATGAATTTTCCAGACAGAAATAAGAAACACTCAGTATATTTGCTTTGGCTGTTTAACTGATATTTAGTGAATAGAACCCATTTTAAAAGGTGTTTTGTTTCTATAGCAGACTGCTGAAGAAGCAGAGTGGAGAGGAAGGAGCAGGGATGTGGCAGGTGTGGACCCAGGGGGCGGGGCTATGGTATTGTCACACACCCCAGCCCCCTACCCGCCCAGGAAAGGCCTGGCTATACCAGGCCCTTGAAAAAGGCTTTAGAGGTTAGCTAATTCCAGAGAATACTTTCTCCAATAGCCCATCTGCAGGTGGGGAGGCAGGCCAACAGGGACTGTAAGCCTTAAGTTCAGGTTTGTTCAGGTCAGGAACTCTACTGGCTGGGGTACCCCATGCAGGCATGTGAATGTCAGGACCTCTTTTGCCCTAGGGTGGTCAGACATACCTCCCTGATCTGGGATACAGGAAGGCTCCATCTTTCTCCACACCCACTAGGGTGAGTCACATGCACCTGCTCTTCTGCCTGCCCACAGGGGTCCTCCACTGTTACCATGTCCAACAAGCAGGGTGACTACACTCAAATCCAGAAGCCAGGGTGCTACCCTGGTGGCCAGCCAGTACAGACCGCTCAGCTGGGGGTCATGCTTTGACTTCCAAACTGGGCAGTCATGGGGCATCCAGCAAGCCTCCAGGGGCCACTCACACTGGGAAGTTCCTCATTCCATCTCACAGTAAAGCTGCAAGGCCCTAGGCTGGTATAGGAGGGTGCTGGGCAAAGTGCTCATATGAGGCCTTGGGCTAGCGCGGGAGGGTGGCCCGCAAAGTGTTCTGTCCACTGCTCATTCGATCATTTCTTTCACTTGCTCATGCTCACTGCAGACCCCAAACATTGTGGCTGGTATCTCTTCAGGGTCATAGATGGGTTTGCAGCAACAAGGGGCATGATGAAGTTCACCTTGAGCCTCAACACCCAGGGGCTGTGGGTGGGGGTGATGTCTGCAGAGTGGGGTCTTGAAAGAACAGAGGGGAGTGCTGTGGGCAGGGCAAGGAGTTGGACTCTAGGGGAGGCAGAGGAGCATGGTGATGGTGCTCAGGATGCTCAGGGATGGGTACAAGTTCTTCTGATGTCCTGGGACTTGGCTGGATGGCCCTATATGCCAAGCCAGAAGACTCAGCTCAGATGGTATGGGCAAGAGAAGCTATTTTCAGGCTTCTAGTAGACCAGTACTTGGCCAGCCAGTACTGTCTGCTGGGAGGGGTGGCTTTGGAGCCAGGTGGCATCCATCTCCAGAACTCCAAGGATAAGAGGAAGTAGCAATTAAAGAGCTATAGGAGGAGTTCAGAAGACCAAACCCAAGCAGGCAGGATGCCCAATGTCAGCCGCGAGCAGGGCCGTGCCGGTAGCTTGTGCTGGCAGCATGCATGTGCAGCCTTGGACAAGCCATTGGATATGGGCTATAACTTCCTCCAGTACCCAAAGGCCAAGGTCCCCTGCAGCTGGTGAGGTCTCCAGGAAGCATCATGAGGACCACAGATCAAAGCCTTCAGAACCCCAGAACGCACAGCAACCTTCAGGGGCGCTTATCTCTTGGCCCCATGGCAGCTTCCTCATCAAAGAGCCCAGGAACCTAAGCAGGTGTCTGTGGAACACAGCCTGATGACTTGGGCAGGTGGGTGGGCTGACGGACAAATGGATAGACAGCTGCCAGGTGAGGTGATACAGTCTCTGTTACTGTAGGGTAAGTTTCCTGCAGACCCCACTGCATGTTCAGATAGCATGCACCCAAGGGCCCCAGGCTGACATATTTGTTTAATCTTGATTACACAACCCAACTTCCTTCAGGGAATGAGGGATAAACACTCGGCTTCTCCCCAGAGGCCAGAGCCCTGGCAGGAGACAAAGAAAACCAGAGTGAACTCAGGGAGGATGGATGTGTTCTTGACACAAACTGAAGATGCTTAAAGAACAAGAGGTATCTGCAAAGTGCATCCAGCACCTGTTCCATCTCCACTGGGCTCAAGGACACCAGGGCCTCAGAGCCAGCAGGAGGGATGCAGCAAGGCTTTGGAGACATCAGTGGGAAACTCAACTTGATCACTTCAGCAGCTGCATTATAGAAAGTGTAGGGAAGTCGGAAGTCTGGCCAACCTAACTCAGCTGCACTGCGCATCTCTGTGCTGGTCCCACTGAGAGCCACTATTCTCCACTCTGCATGCCTCATCCTGGGTGTTTCTCAGTGTACCTGCAGCTGGTTCACAGGATGAATCCTCACCTGCAGGAGGATTCACTTCTGGCAGAAACGTAGGCTTCATGCGGCCATCACCCACTGTACACAGAGCTGGGGCACAAACCCAGCCTGCTGACCCCTTCTCTGCAGCATCCAGAGGACTCAGTTGCTTCTATGGCCTTTGCTAAGGCCAATGCATACCCCATGCTGCCCTAGGTTTGGCCTTCCTGTCCCCATACACAGCTCCAGAATGTGGGTCATGGCTGTGGGTACAGTTTTCAGATGCTGCCACAGGGACCAGATTCAGACACGGTCACCTGCAAGAGCATTCTGCTAGAGTGAGATCCCAAACTACGTCAAGGACAAACCCATGCCCCTTTACTCCCATACACAGCCAAAGCTCCTGGGTAGTGAGGCCCCATCCAGTGACCATGAGATCCAGTCAGGGAGGGGTTTCTGAAAAGTAAACAGAACACAGACTTCCATAGCCACCCTTGTGGTCGACAGGAACGACAGTCCCTGCCTGACCCTCACAGCCAGCCACTCTGGCCCCACCCAGGGCTGTGGACCTTCCCAGGGTTCAGTCAGAGGAACAGTGCCTGATACTACACACTGGTGGATTCTGGGGTACAGGGAAGAGTAGCCATCTCCACTGCCCCGCCCTGGCCAAGACTCTCCATGACTGCTCCTTAGGAGGCTCCAATTGTGGCTCTGGGCACAGCTTGTCCTTTGCTTCAAGTCTGTCTGAGGGCTCTTGAGTAAGTCCCTTCACCTCCGATTGTCGCCTATACGTGGTGAATGACGTTATGCCTCTACCTCAGG